TTTTATTTCTGACCGGGATATTATAAGCTTATATCGTCATAGTTACGCTATCAATAAAGAGAGTCATAACTCCCTTGGGACATTATAGATTCTATAATTCCCTCTACCTTTCACAAGTAAAAATAAAATAAAAAATGCTAATATACATATATGTGTATATATTTATGAAATGAAAACTGAACCATATTTTATTTATTTGCGTCATTACAAATAATAAATGTACAATTTTGAAATGTTCCCTGAAAATTACTACCGCCACTGGAAACAATTTCTTCTTTTGTATGGCTGGAGCTTCTGTTCACTACAGTCGAGGTACCTGCCTCTTCTAATGGCAAAGTAGACAACATATGTGCCGTTTTATTTCTCAATTTGGTGCTATCCTCCAGATACCCCTCCGCCACCGTGGAACTTTTCCAACCTCCGTGTCTTTTTAAGTTAAGTCATAGTTGCTCCTGCATTAGCTAGAGCAGTAGCAGAAGTGCGACGAAGGCAATGTCCCGTATAAGAAGATGGGTTTGGCAATCCTAAATACATTGCGATTTTGCTGGGAATTTTCCCAAATATGTTTTTTCCAATTGGCTGAGATGTACATTTATTTTGTCGGAAGCGCAAGAAAAATCGTTCAATACCTTTAGGACGCAAAGACATATACAGTCTTCATAAAGGCAAAGCAGAGAACTCTTTTTCATCCACAATTGTAAATTTCTTCGATACACCAGTTTTACTTTCCGGTACGTTCACTACCATAACGGAATCCCGGTCCTCTATATCCGATATCTTCATATTCAAAAGTTCCTGACTTCTGCATCCTCCAAAATAACCCATAATCAAAACAACCTAAAACAAAAAAAGGATATAAATACACACAAAAAGGAAAATAAGAAAAAAATTACCTTATGCAATAAATGAATTTCATTAGGAGCATTCTTTAGAAATCCGATAACATCATTAGGAGATAAAACAGCAGACTTTTTCGGCTTATAACTCTTACTCTTCCGTTTCAAAAAAGCCTCTAGTTCATTGAACTTGGCGATATCTCGTTTCTCATGTATATTCACTTTCGATTTTAGTATTGACCATTTAGTCCATAAAGAATTCGGACTATACGTTTCTAACTGCAACGAATAAACAAAATTACTACCAAATCTACCAAAAAACATAGAATATTCCTTACCAATTCTTCAAAATATGCCAGTAATACAGCTTCAGTGGCATCTTTTGGCATAATATTATTCTGTGTCAGCCACTCCAGATATATCTTGTATTCTTTTTGGTATACGGCTTCACTTTTCGATGGAATTAATGATTCTCTTGCTTTTTCAGCTTTTTTCAAAATCTGCTCCATTATATTTGAGGTAGAAAACACGTTTATAAACAAGTAACAATTCTGTTTATAAACACGTAACATAGCAACAACCTAGCAACAACAAAACTCTTATAATCAATGGTACCTGATTGAAATATACTGGGAAGGTAATAAATTGGTACATTTTTTCGGTTTTAAAATTAAACAATATTTTATTGAAATCGGTCAGAAATAAAATTATCTATGTACCACGGGAATTAATGAGCCTTAATAACCTCAGGCGATTGCTGTCCCTCGGGCCGGACGCCCTCAGGACGCAAACTTTGCCATCGGTAATTAAGGCCCTTATAATTCCCTAGATACATAAATAACTATTTTGCATTTAATCTTCATTAATTTTCTTTATTTTCTGATGCACTGTATTTAATGTAGAAATTTAAAGGCAGAAACATACATGTGATAACATGTTTCTACCTTATGTGACATTTATTTCTATGTTAATTTGATTGTTTCCATTATACATTTGAAAATTGTGACCATGTTTTATTTGCCGAAGGCATTGTTAGTATTAAAATTAAATGAAAGGGAATATACTTATATTGATTCTGTGATTTTCTTATATCCAAAAAATTATTTATGAGATGATTGATCTTGCTTTAATCAATATTATGTTACAGTTCTAAAAAAATATAAATAAATCAGTAAAATATTAAATCAAATCTTTAACCCATTTTTTGCAACTCAATCTACAAACCTGTAAAAGAATGATAAAAATTAATAGCTGAAATTACATACCAATTAAATAAAGTTTGTATAAAATCTGGTCAGATTTATACAGAGGACGTTAAAATAACATGACAAGTTCCTATAAAAATTTTCCGAGAAGGCCCCCCTACGGAGATACAGGCCCCTAAAGGACACCCCTGAAAATACTTTGTGTCATTTAAATATTTTTAGGTCACAGAAAGAATGATTGATTTATTTCTCTTTACTGATGTCAAAAAATAATATTAAGCAAAAATAATTTTTTCTTGAAAACAGTTCATTTTATCAATATCAACCAAGAGTGCCTTTTTTTAGTTCAAGGTTCAAGCTATTTAAAAATATTATTTATGTCCCTTTAACTTAAAGTGTGTAAAAAAATTGTCATTATTGTGCTACAGCTGGCCCGTCCCTGGCAAACCAAATAAGCCAAATTATTTTCTTGCGTCAATTTTTAAGGAGTCTTATCTTTTGTCCATCGTATTAAAAAATAATTCAATTTCACAAAGTATTTGAAAAGTTATTAAAACAAAATCGCTTTTCAGGAGTGTCCTTTAAGGGCCTGTATCTCCTTAAAGGTACCCTCTAGGGAAAACTTTTATAGGAACTTGTCATGTTATTTTAATGCCCCCCGTATAAATCCGAGAGATTGCCCACATATTATGGGACACTGTATACATTATACCATTGAACACTCCCCCTGTCAATATCTCCTAAATGAAGAAATTTATTTTAGTTCCGGCAATTGAAGTTGTTAGGTCCCTCGAATAACTTCAAATTATAGTTAAAATTGTTAGTTCAAACTTTTTGGCATGACAATACTAAAAAATTTTTTGTTCCCCGGAACGTGGAAATACAGTCCATCTGAAAGATCTTTAAATTTTGAATAATTTTTGTAATATAATGTTTTTCCCTATATTTACTTATTTTCGAGATATGTTGACTTCAATATGCAATGTATTATATAACAGGAAAATCTATTATTTTATATCGAGGGGCGATACGCTAAGGAAAAAACATACGAAGATTACAAAATTTCTGAAATCTCTTGTAATGTATCTGCAGATTTCAATATCAATTAAAAAAAGATTACAAATTTCATATAAAAAATCAAGATTACAGTATATTTCAACAGATTACAAAACATTTCAGGAGATTTCAGTTATTTAGTAGATTTCAATGATTTATTTAAGATTTCAATAGGATTATTAGAAATTAAAAGAAGATTTCAAAATTTCTTAATAAGGTTTCAAGGATTACGGGAAGATTACAATAAGTTTTGAATGTCCATTTGAATAAAAATAATTGAATTAACTTCAACTGTCATTCATTTCATTCATTAACAGTAGTACTTTGATTAAGAATTTCCAGTATGATTTTTACGCAAAAATTGTAACATTCTGATTAAGTTTTTGTTCGAATGAACGTTAAAAACTTTTTGTCATGACAAAAATGATAACGCCATTTTGAAAGTAGGTAAGTATATATTTTTATTGAAAGATAAAAATATAATAATCCAATAAACTAATAAAATAAAAAAATAGAATTATCATAAAATAAACATTTTCCCAAAAAATAAATAATAAGAAATATATTAAGCTTTTATTAACACTTGTATTTAATACTTTACCTGTATACAGCGCATTTAAAAAAGACGGGGCAATATTTAAGGGGGTGATTGCCCAAGTCATTTTATAAAAAAAGTTCCTATAAACATACGTCCGCAAACGCTTCGTTACCGATCTACAGTGTTGAAATTTCATTAAAAAAACAGTAAAAATTAAATTTCTCCAAAACCGCTTGAGATATTATAATGAAATTTTAGGCCTATGGCAGACGCGTACTTTGCAATACAAACCGATTTTTTAGTCTTACCAGTGACGCGCGTATTGGCACGTCACTAGCTATTTTTAAAGAAAAAAATAGGACGCCGCTGGTTTTTCTGAAAATATTTTTTTTTAATTTTTTGTTCAATTATGAAGAAGAAAGCTTTCCTCAGATTATGCGCACCGTACGACTTACCGTTATTGAGTAAAAAAATAAAACACGTTTTATTGCGCACCTAAAACCAATGTTTTAATTTAGAAATTCAAATTCAATAATTTGAATTGTTCAATAACAAAGAAATTCAAATTATCAAATTTGATTGATTTTTGAAATGTGGTACTGTTGTTTGTTGTAGATTAAAGAGGCTGCGTTTTAGAGAAATTTAATTTTTACTGTTTTTTTTTTTAATGAAATTTCACATTCTGTAGATCGGTAACGAAGCGTTTGCGGTCCTATGTTTATAGGACCTTTTTTTATAAAATGACCTGGGCAATCACTCCCTTAAATATTGCCGCGTCTTTTTTAAACACGCTGTATACAAGTAAACTATTAAATGCAAGTATTAATAAAAGCTTAATACATTTTTTATTATTTAGTTTTTGGGAAAATATTTACCTACTTTCAAAATAGCATTATCATATTTGTCATGACAAAAAGTTTTTAATGTTCATTCAAACAAAAACTTAATCAGAATGTTACAATTTTTGCCCAAAAAATTCCTGGTACTGGAAATTCTTAATCAAAGTACTATTGTTAATGAATGAAATGAATGACATTTGAAGTTAATTCAATTATTTTTGTTCAAATGGACATTCAAAACTTATTGTAATCTTCCCGTATTCCTTGAAACCTTATTAAGAAATTTTGAAATCTTCTTTTAATTTCTAATAATCCTATTGAAATCTTAAATAATCATTAAAATCTACTAAAATAACTGAAATCTCCTGAAATGTTTTGTAATCTGTTGAAAGATATTGTAATCTTGTTTATTTATATGAAATTTGTAATCTTTTTTGAATTGATATTGAAATCTGCAGATACATTACAAGAGATTTCAGAAATTTTGTAATCTTCGTATGTTTTTTCCTTAGCGGATTGCCCTTCGGAACACACCAATCACACTATATAGGTTTTTGTGGCATCCTTTGGAAATTGAGGTAGGGGGGGGGGCGTTGTATAACGACTACATCGACGAAAATCGTTAGCTAATTACACAGATTACAGCGAGGATTACAGATAAGATTACATAGATTACAGATAGATTACATAGATTACAGATAAGATTACGTAGATTACAGACAAAATTTCATAGATTTCAATTTTAGAGATTCTTAGATGATTACAAAATTTCAAAAAGATAAATATTAAAACGTCTTAATTACATGGAGATTGCAAAGATTTCAGAAACGATTACATAAAATTCCAGGGCAAACGTACGAAGATTACATCAGCGGATCGCCCCTCGTTTTATATAAACCGACTGAGACAAAATATTCTTTTAAAATATGGTTATAATGGCTTTATTCACATCACATACTAACTAACAAACAATAAATTATAAAAAAATCAAATGATCAACTACAGAAAAAAAAATGTACAATGGTAAATCTTATAAGGGGCAGAGACGAACCATATTTTATCAAATGTTATTAAAAAATGCAGTCATATGTGACTCATGTCATTTGTTTAAAATAAAACAATGATAGATGATAGTTTTCCAATAATTACAGTTTTATCAGTTCGCGTCTTTCAGTTTAACTATACTAGTTATACGATTTACCATTGTACAATTTTTTTTCTGTAGTTGATCATTTGTTTTCTTATAATTTATTGTTTGTTAGTTAGTATGTGGTCTGAATAAAGTTATTATAGTAATATTTTAAAAGAATATTTTGTCTCGGTGTGATTTAGATAAAATAATAGATTTTCCTGTTATATCATACATTGCATATTGAAGTCGACATATCTCAAAAACAAGTAAATATAGGGAAAACCTTTATATAACAAAAATTACTCAAAATTTAACGATCTTCCAGATGGACCAGACCAAAATAAGGTTAAAATTCTTATAAAATATTTTTTGCAATGAACTCTCACTGAGTTACAGGGTGTTGTTTGGAAAAAAATAATAACAACTTTCCGCAATCACTCAAAAACCCTTTCAGGGATTTAAGTAATTTTTGCGTCAAATGTACATCTATTAAAGGTCATTAAAACTACATTTTTGAGCTAAACAAGAGCACATTTTTTGTTCAGAATCGATTGCAGATTCAGGAAAACTTATTCAAATTACATAAAACTAGGATATGCAAAAGTTATGAAGACATAAC